TCAAAAATAATTTTATGATATATATAATGTATGAAAAATTTTGTTTCAATTTGCACAAGTTTTTTTACACTCTTTAGGCAACATTGGGACAACATGGGGCGGGCTAGAACCCGAACACCTGACCCGTCGATCACTTCTAGCCAAGTCCTCAGCCAAAACTGGTCCCCAAATTTTATGATTCCACGTGTCGCCTCGTCATTTGTCTACCAATTAATATGAATCACCCTCTAGCTCCCATGATTGCTGGATCCTATGTTTTAAACTCTCCCACTCTCACACATTTCACGCGCGATGCACTTGCTTTCTGCAATCGACATCTGTCACCACGGTCTGTCCCAACGGCTTCTGGTGCTCCGACATTAACTACCAATACTGAGCGTTCAGGCCTCACGCCCAAGAACCTTTTTGGGTTAAACAAAGTAATAATGATAATAATAACAAAATAAACCCGTTTCAGGCTTGTACCAGGGAGAGAGAGGAAAAAAAAGAAAAAAAAAGGACGGCCATTTCAGGCTTTCCATAATAGAAAGCCTCCGTACTAGGACCTTTCCAAAAGAGAGGGAGGAAATTCCTCATCTTCAACTTCTTCAGCCAGGTCTATAATATTTTCTGTAAGTTCCAGCTTCCGAGGCACATATATGCACTACTGATAAAGATTGTGTGTGTGTTTTCTATCTATAAGGTTTCCGAACAAATTATTTTCATTTCTTCTGGTATGGTATTTTTGTTTGTGAATTTGTTCGATGAAAAACAGCTTTAATTACTGATTGTGTGCTTGATCTGAAAGGCGAAGCCCTAAAGAGAAATGGGCAGACGGAAAGTTGCGATTAAGACGATTGAAAATCCTGTAAGCAGGCGAATGACTTTTTCAAAGAGAAGAAATGGATTGCTGAAGAAAGCATTTGAGCTTTCAGTCCTCTGCGAGGCGGAAGTTGGCGTGATTGTGTTCTCTCCCAATGGCAGGCTCTATGAATTTGCAAGCTCCAGGTATGTTCCCAGTTCGTTTACTTTTCTTTGTTTTATCAGAAGCATTATTTTCTCTGACGGGTTTTGGATATGAATAATATCATTTTCTTCTTCTTCTTCTCATTATTATTATTATTATTATTATTATTATTATTATTATTGGGATTAACTATCTTGAATTTGATATTCTGTCAGACACTGGTTATTGTTGGTACCAGCAAGAAGAAATTAAAATCTTTTCATACTGAACACCTGCACATTCATCAAGATTATCAATCTGTGAGCTTGTAATTGATGCTTAGGAACGTTTGGCTATTAGTTTTGGGAGGAAATATTCTCTGAATCCTCCTTTCTCTTTTTCTTCTCAAATCCCATTTTCACAAATAATAATAAATAGTTCATATTTTATACTTTACAAAACTATGATTATATTATTATACCATTGCATAAATAAGAGAGATAAGAGGTAGATATCTATTTTTTAAAATATTAAATTCGAATCATCTATTATTATTTGATCTAATAGTGGAGATGAAATTCTAAGAAGAAAAGAAGAAAAAGGGATTTTGAGAGGATGCAGACCCGTTAGTTTTGTCCTTCAAAATTTCCATGCACAAAAGTGTTATTTTCCGCAATTGCAAATCCTTGATGAATTTCTGATATATAAGGATCTCTTCGTCCTTCTGCTAGCTGAGATCTTTCTTCTTCTTGTACACGTTTTTTCTCTTGCCTCTTCTTTTCTCCCTGTCTTTTTTTTTTTGGTTGCCCCAAGCCAATAATCCTTGACTAGATTGCTTAATTAACTCACTGACTAGTACACTTTCTAAAGTTCAGATATAAAAGGGCTCGTTTGAATCTGTTATTGATAAGTGCTTATAAATACTTTCATATGAGTTGAGACAAAACTCCACTCACATAAAAACTACTTTTAAACCATTCCAAATAAGTCAAAGATACTGGGCAGTGAATTCTATGAAAAAGAGTCTTTGAAAGGACTCTAAGAATTCTCTCTAGAGTTGCTAAAAAATTGAAGCATGTTTGTGGTCTAGTCATCACCTCTTTTCTTCTCTTCTTCTTTTGATAAAGATCTTTTTCTCTCTTCTCCTTTCAAACATTACCATAAAAAGAAAAATTCTAAGAGATTCAGACTCTAGTTGAACTCCTTATATATGATGAATATTAGATTGTATATATATGCCTTTTCCATACATAAGTAGATAGTCTCTCTAAGCATTGATACGAGAAAAATTTGAAAAGTTATGCATGACATAGCTAGTATATATATATAAAACATCATAAAAGATTTCAAAAAATTTATATATCTTCTTAGTGAGCTGCGCACTTCGGAATATTCATTTATTAATTATACTCTTCCGATTCTTAATATAAGACTTAATTGTTGTGTTGATTTTAGTCCTAAATATAAAATCTATTTCTTATATTTTTCAATTTTTCTTAAATTATTCCTATGGATACTTCTTCAACTATAATCAAGTAGAAGAGAGAGGGAGGATATTGAGAAAGATGATTATGGTGTTTTAGGAAAAGCATGTCATATTTCTTATAATTAACTAACTTTTTAAACTTTTTTATTAAGGATTGGCGGGTATATATTTATATACACCTTTGTAATGTACTCTTTTATTTATTGATATTATTTTTCCTTACTATTAAAACAAACCTATTTATATACATGCATAAGCGATTTTGCGCACATGTGTGATGATTCATTTATTATGGTTGGTTTTATTAATTTGTGATAATTGCTTGGTGATAATGGAATGTAAAAGAGCTGGGCAATTTATAATCTTTATGTTACAGCATATCAATAAGGATTGGATGGATTGGGGTACAACTGAGATATACTTGCAGGCATAAGTGCTATGACATTGACAGGCTATTTAAAATCTTCAAACTATATGAGTTTTTTCCCTTCTAAATAGCAGAACTAATATCTATTGTATATGCTCATTTTCAAATCTTTTGGGTTAACATATGCTAAATGAAATTTTGAGAAAACAAAACTAAGTTTTACAAATTTAAAATGGGAGTTTTAATAATACACACACTGACATACATATAAACATTAACTTATGATTATACAAATACTATATATACTTATGTCACTGTACTCATATTTTAATTCTTCATCAGCTGTTCATTCAATCGGCGTAAAAATATAGGATTTGCATGCTAAATGATTAGAGCTGGACGAGAGTTGAAAATAGTTGATGATGTAATAGGTTGGTCCAAGTTATTGTGCTTTTCTCTACCCCGGGACAAGGATAATTATATGTTCACTCATGTAATTTAAAACACATAATATATGAGTTTGTGCATGTAATTTAAAACACATAATATATATGAGTTTGTGCATGTAATTTAAAACACATAATATATATGAGTTTGTGCATGTAATTTAAAACACATAATATATATGAGTTTGTGCGAACTCTGGGTCATTAAATTATTTGAAATAAAAACTTAATTACAATGATACAACTTTTGTTATCAAATTTTCAATAAGATTATAATATACAGAAATATGTTTTAAAAAACAATTAATGATATAATGAGAATTTATAAATATCGCTTCGATAAAATATAGTCAAAACGTAATGTTTCAAAATTTTCAATTAATATAGTATAACCACTTTTTAAGTTGAAGTCATTTTTCTGCCCCTACAAAAGATTATTAGATTATTAACTTTTTCTGAAATATAAATAACTTTTGAATGCCACTGAGGTTAGAGGATGGAAAGGAAAACGTGCTGCGCTGATTACACGTATGTTAATCTCAAGACAATTTTTTTGTTTTAAAAAAAGAAAGATTTATGCGAACTTCTTGTTCCGAGCTCGATTTTTAATTAGACATTAGATCCTTATACTTGATTGTCTTTTCAATCATGACATTTTTTGGTGGGTTAAAACCTTTACATAATTATTTTCAACGTTAAAATTTGGATGCTAGGTATCAGAAGTTGATCAAACTATATTTGAACAAATCATGCGTTGGTTAATAATACACTTGTAAAGCTAGGGAGTAGATTATGACTACCCTTCATGTGGCATCTTTATTCTGAAAACTCTGTAGTTTTAAAAGTAATTTTATAGTATACGAAATAAATATGTAGAGAAATTTGTCTCGATTTATAAAAAATACTTTTGAAAAGCACTCTTATAACTTTTCAAACACCCCCTTGATCATTCCCCCTCTTTTTCTGCAGTTAATGTCTCCGTTTCTTCTTTTGTGGCAGCGAATTTACTTTTGACCTATTCTTGGCTGCAGTCAACTCTCATAGCTTGAAACCAAGCTAAGAGAGAAAATAAGTCATGTTACCAAAAGGAGGACAAAAAGATTGGAGGAAAAAATCTAGAAAAGAAATTTAAAAATACAAATTAAATCCTACTTTTTCTCTTATTTAAGAAAACGAAATGAAGCAAGATAATATTGGGTTGCATTCCAAGTAGAATTGAGTTTATAGTTTTTAGCAAGATTTTCTCATAAATACAATTTATGGTGGCCACAGAGTTGCCTTTCTTATTTGACTTCATCGCATTTATGACCTTTCCATTGTGACTATTCATCATCTCTTACATATAAAAAAAAAAAATCTTTAGGAAGAATTATAGCTTCTTCAAATTTAACAGCACCTGTTTGAAGGTGTGAATAATCTTATAGTTGTAATATGGAATTAAAAATTGGATTGGATCTTGAAATTTTGATTTGATCATTATTATGCTACATTACTACTATATGGACAAACACCTACCTGTCTATGAGTGACCTTAACATTTTTAGCGAACCTTTTCCTGTTATAGTTTGCACTTCCTTGAACTGTGCATTTGTTATTATTATTATTTTTGGGGTGAAACAAAGGGGCAAAGCCCAATTACATTCGTACTAGTCTAGGTGTTCCACCGCCTTGGTGGGGTGTTCCATATCGTCCTTCTTGTTCCCTTTTGTCGGCTCATGGAAGCCAGCTTATCTGCGCACCGGTTACTCTCGCGAAAATTATGGGAGAACTTGACACAGCGCGGTAGATTGACTACTTCATTGATTTGAGCTTGAAGATGAGTATATCCTGTGACTGCAACATTCTTTTTCAGCGCCTCTATCACTTTTACAGCATCTGATTCAACCTCTATTTTCCTGAATCTCATGTACCAGCTAATTCGCAGCCCTTCAAGAATTCCGAGAGTTTCTGCTTCTACCACGTCGTATTGTCCCAGATGTATGGAAGAACTCCTCCACACCCTGCTAAGCCATCTGTTGAAACAGTCCCATCTGAATTTAATTTACACCAGCTTTTAGGAGGGGGTGCCCAGGTCACTAGAGTGGTTTCTTCTTTTGTGTCTTGTAGAGCATCAAAACATCTCCCATGGTTATAAGTGTCCAGGAAACCGAAGATACGCTGTATTCTATTCACCGGAAGTTCCACGTCTGGACTGTGGATTTGTAAATTTCTCCATTTCCAGATGAACCAACAGGTTACTGCAAGTGTATCTGGCCATGTCCATTCCTCTTGGCTTCTCTTGACATTCTTAATGTTTATATCTATCCAGGAATCCCAGTCTGCACCAAAGAAATTAACCCGCCATTCAGTCGGTGTAATTTTCCTCCCAATCAGATTAGCATGAAGACAATCTCTCAGTGTATGAAATTGGTCTTTTGTCACCCTTTGACAAAGTGGGCAAACACCATTACTATCATCCCAAGCTTTGGTGATTGCCCTAGTTGCAAGTCTTCTATTAGCAACAAGTCACATGAATACTTCAATTCGCTTGGGTACCCTCAGCTTCCCAGTCCTTTCCTATTGCTGGTGCTGCGTATTTTCTGGTCCTAGGATCCATTTGTATGCAGAGGCCGTGGTGAAGGATCCATCTTTGAATAACTTCCACTTGTACTGTACGGTTCTACTATCAATGTCACTATTCAAACATTCTATGTTCTCTTGAAACTTTTCCCATAACTGTCTCATTTCTTTCCAGAGTTTTGATCACTCTTCTTCACCACTATGTGTTCTGTGCCCTGTTGTCTCCCTCCATATTTACCATGAAGCACCTGTACCCAGAGTTTCTGTGGGTTAACTATACTTCGCCATATGAGCTTACACAAAAAAGCCTCATTCATACATTGTAGTGATTTAATTCTCATGTCTCCATTCTCTTTTGGCTGACACATTCTTTTCTTTCCTTGGAGATTGCATGCTGTAATACCTTAATTTTCTATGTCAGCTGGGTCAAATTACGATAGCTTTAAACCCCTAAGCCATGTTTGATCCTGGAAATATTATACTCTTGCAGAAATTTTCTTTATAGGGTTCAACTATATGGTAAGTTAATAATATTACTAACCTATCACCACACAGCCATTAAAGTAGATGGCATTCATTTGTTCACTTCAAGAGCCATAGTTTCCTATTTGTAGAAAATTTACATTCCATAAATTCATATAACTTCATGTCTACATATTTATATACACAGAGTGGTAGCCATACTTGGCTAATAAAAAATTATAAGTTCAAACTACAAAAATATAAATCGATGACCAATTATACAAACAACTTGTTCTTTCAACCTTCTCAATTCCTTGCGATCACCACACTCTTGTTGTTCGAGCAACTTATCTTTGTTGTATGTCATGGAAGGAAAGGAGTAAGATTCTAAGAATCCTAGTAGTAGCAACAGTCTATCATACACATATACAAGTTCACAAAGCATATAAAACAAGCCATGTAATAAGCACTCAGCAGATCAACATATCCAACAAGGTTCACATGGCATATACAGTTTAACATGGATCACAGTTCTATTATTCACATAGAATGAGTTTGAGGGAACACACAATTCTAGCATTTACATAGAATAAGAGTTCTAGGAAACACATAGTTCCAGTATTCACAGAGAATATGAGCTCAAGGGAACACAGTTCCAATATTCACACAAAATACGAGTTCAAGGGAATACACAGTTCTAGTATTCACACAAAATACCAGTTCAAGGGAATACACAGTTCTAATATTCACACAGACATACAATTCCAAAGTTCACACAGAATACAAGTTTCCATCATTCGTAATCGAGCACACAGCTCCTATAATCAAAACCACCGTTCATAATCGAGCACACAGCTCCTGTAATCAAAACCACCGTTCATAATCGAGCACACAGCTCCTGTAATCAAAACCACCGTTCATAATCGAGCATATAGCTCCTGTAATCCCATTCATAATCGAGCAAACAACTCTCGTAGTCAAAAGCACCATATATACATTAAAGAATATAGGTACTATGACACAAATAGACATGCAGAGCTATTGTATAAGTATATGAGAGAAAGAGTTACTACTTAAGCCCCTTCTTCTGATTTACTTTTTCTAGATTTCGTCTTTACTTGCTCTCTTGGTAGGCTTGGGCATATATTAAATCTTATAGTATAATTTCACATATAAATGGGTCAATGCTTAGTCCATTTAGCTTCTATTATTCAAAATATAACTTTTCGACCCATTAATGAACTTCATTTCTTTTTATTTAATAGTTGCTAGACAATATTTTTATATTTATATTCATTAATTTATTTAAAGACATTCAAAATGGCTTTGCCTTCTCTCAATCCTAATTCTCTGAGTTTTCCCCCCTTTTTAATAACTAATCATCTTGGTTTTAAAAAAAAAAAAACTTTGTATTTAACTTTTACTTTTAAGAACAATTTCCTAAGTAAATATCTGGAGGCACCTGGTTAATATTTAAGAGCAACCAGTATATTAACTTGCTTATTATATGACTAGTTGATATCATTATATAATAATAGCAATATTATTCAAATTTCAAGAGCATCGAACAACTAACTCCTTTTATGTTTTAAAAAAGAAATCTGATTTTCTCAGCACCCCAAAACACACGCAAATATCTAATGCTCCATTATTCTCATTCATAGTATTTAAACTTTCCTTCTCTTTTCCAGCATGATTCCCAAAACTCCACAAAAAGGAACAAAAGCTTTTAACTTCAAAATTGTCTCTCCTCCACTGTACCCAACATCTCATACTAGAATTAGTAACCAAATCATAGTCTTCTATTCATTATATTAAAATAAGATGCTTCAAAACCAGAACAGGGAGTCCAAAAGAAAGAAAGAAAGAAAAATAAAATTACAGAACATCGAACCCAGACACAACAGTCAACATGCGACCCGAAGACATACATATATACTGTATTTCCTTCTTCATTCACACCCAAAACTCAACGCCATTCTCTAGATTCATTGGACCCCTGTTTTGGTAACTCACAACCCAGCAACATTAAGCAACATGCAACCAAGAAAACATGCTTCTTCTAGCCTTTTATCAGTGAACCCGGCGACCATAATCAGAACCAAGCGAGCTTAGTTCGATTATTTTCTTGTTCTTTAACTTCTCTCTCTAAAACGGATTTCCATCCCCCAAACCTCACCCAAAACGTAGCCACAGAAAGAAATAAGGTTGGAATGGTGCTTAGGAGGCTTACCTTGATCAAGATCGCCGGTTGCATGCAAGGAAAATGCCCTCCGATTAACTTCTTCTTCCTCGCTCCCTCTCGTCTTTCTCGGTCTCCCTCCCTCTCTGTAATTTCTTTGGTCTGATGGAAATAGAAGGGAAGGAGGAGTTTCAGATGAGTTGAATGAGCTGGGGAATCTCAAAAAGACCATTTTACCCCTCTAACCTTTCTTATTTCCAATTTCATCCTTTCACTAAATTTCTGAAATCATAGAATAAGTCCAGAAATTTTTCCATAATGTTTTGTTTGGATTTTCCTTCTCCATTATCTTCTTTGACCTGTAAAATAATTTTTCTAAAAATTTCGGGTAAATAATTAACTCCCTTCTTGAATTTTTTTAAGAATATAGCCCTTAATTCCATACATTAATCCTTAATTCATTTTAAGGATTTTATGCCTCTATTAGCTCCTTTATCTCATAAAATAATTATCCTAAAATTTTTAGTTCAAATATAAACCTCTAGCTATTTTCCTTCAATTTTCGAGAAAATTTGTCATTTTAACTATCGCAATTAACTCTAGAATTATTTAAGCTATTTTGGGAAAAATAAACTTTTTCATAAAATTTCTAAGTCCTTGAAATAAATGTTCCATAATTTTTTCCAAATTTTCCTGGGCTTTAAATAATTTAGTAAATTTTCTTTGCTACTTTTCCCGAATGTGAAAAATTCAGGGTGTTACACATGCCATCTCTTTTTTCGCTCCGAGTTCCCCTAGATGAATTAGCGCTCCTTCCTTTCTATGTTTGCGATAATACCTTTGGGGATCTTATGATGTTGCATGGAGTATTAAGCCATAAAGCTGACTATAGATTTGACCAAAGTCATGTACCCACCATTGGTAAGCTCGAAACTTTCTACCCTTGGAGTCTTCTCTGTTCCCGTTGCACTATGACTTTATATCTCTCTGTCTTTTGGGGAAGGACAGTTCTGCACCAAGATATCACCCTAACTCATCCACCTGCTTGAATTGACTTCTACTACAAATTTCCCTCCTGGTGGTACTGGGAACATTGAGGGAGAAATAGATAACAGTTTTCTCTTGACTTTATGCCCCATAGCTTGTCAAAAACCTGCAAACAATTCAAAATAATGTTCAGTTGATTAATATCAGCTTCTGCAAATAACACGAAGTCATCTGCAAACATCATATGCGAAATAATTGGTCTTTTTTTACCTACTCTCAAGCTTCTCCACTTTCGCTTGCACTCTGTCTAGGATCATATGAGTGAGTTTCCCCATGCGAAGCACAAAGAGATCAGGAGAGAGAGGGTCCCCTTGTTGAAATCCCTTGGAAGTTTTGAAGCTGCTCAATTTCCCTCCATGCCACAAAATACCCTTCTTCTTCCTCAGAGTGCAGTATTTCATTTACAATTATAATATCATCATGAATATTCCTACCTGGTAGAAAGCTAACTTGGTAAGGTGATACTAGATCCACCATATGCTCTTAAGTCTCATGATTGTAATCTTTGATACACATTTATAAACTACATTGCACACTTATATAGGTCAAAACTGACTCACATGCTTAGGCTGGTCTACTTTTGGGATAAGGATCCCATTAGATCCCAACAACGTTAAAAGAATAGAGCCTAAAACTCGCTTTAAAACCTTCTATAGCAAACATGGTATTTTTAACTTCCTCATCTATGGTGTCCCCATCAATATAATCCCACTCCTCCTTCTGAATTGTTGGCCAAGAATGTTCATTGCAAGCCCACTTATGATGAAACTCTTGCTCCGTAAACAGTTCTTGGAAATGTTTGTTGATTAACTCTTCCACTTCATCTTAGCCTTCCACCCAATTGTTGTGGTTATCTTTTAGCATAGAGACCTTATTCCTCTTTCTTCTAGTGGTTGTATTTGCATGATAATAGGAGGTATTTCAAGGCCATTGTGTTCTTGCCTTTTGAAACCAAAGAAGTTCTTCCTTTTCTAGTATATCACTCAGCTCCTCTTGTAACTCTTTTTCCAATTTTTCTAGAAATAGGTTCTTTTGGTTTTGGGTGGCTTATTGTATACCATTTAGTCTCCGCAGTAGTTCACATTTCTTTTTTCCAATATGTCCAAATGAATTTTCATTCCAGTCCAATAAACTTGGCACCAGATCGTTTAGCTCATCTTGAATTTCCTTCTCACATGTCCAGTTGTTATACGAACTACAATTTTGAAATCTTTATGCTTCACCCAAATTGCTTCAAACTGAAAAGGTTGTCGTCAAGCGTTCTGCTTCTGGCCCTTTAAGTTAATGTGGAGACGGTGGTGATCTGAATGCAGCCTTGTCCCCACTCGAGCTACCGCATCGCAATATAGGTTTTGCCAATAAGTATTGCACATTACTCTATCAAGTTTCTTGTATAGCCTTGAACTCAGCCCCACTCTTGGTCCTCTCTAGGTGTACCTTGCATCTTCAATGTGTAAATGAATCAGGTTGCATGTATCAATTTTTGCATAGAACCTTTAGCATCTTCGTTCATTTATCCCTTTTCCACCACGTGGCTCATTGTTTGACTTAATATCATTGAAATCTCCTATTAGGAGCCACAGGGTGGACATTGTTTTTGCTAAGTTTTCTAGTTTCTCCCATAGATCATCTCTTCTTTCGACTTCCTTAGGACTTGCATAAATTATGGTAAACAACCGGCTGTTTTTTTCCAATACTTGAGATTTCACAATACAAAAATTGCTTGTGGCATTGGAGATCCTTGATTTCAATTGATTCATCATCCCACAAAATCCAAATTGCCCCAGACATCCTGCGCTTCTTCTATCACTTGCAATCTGAACCCCATGTGTTTAATGGTAGCAGGGGAGCTCCCAAGTCAATCTCAACGCACGTCCTAGCGCACATTGTTCGATCTTTACTCGGAGTCATCTCATTGACACAAATAGGACTTCCAAACTTGGTCCCCAGGTCATAGGACAACTTCTTATTGTAATAGTCTCCGGTGAGCCCAGGTAATCTAACCCAGACTTCACCTCTTTGTAGCTTCTCAACCCTGCCATGTTTGAACTGTTAAGTAGTGGTTTTTGGCTAACTATGACCCTTTTTCCAAAAAAAAAAGTAATAATCACCCATTTCCTGGAAGGTGGCTAGTAGATACCCAATATCTATATAAGAGATGTCGACCTTACCAGCTTTCCCCCGCATTAATTGCACTTTTCGTCATAACTGCATAAAGCCAATTGCTTCTCCCAGCAATTTAATAATGAGAGAGTTCTACCAGCTATGAGCCAGATGCCTCCTTTCCTTTTCTGAGGAAACTAGGATAGGGCCTCTCGTTGAATCTATGATTTTTAGCCTTCTAACAGTTCCTCGTCATTGTAGAATAATAAATTCCCATCCCATACTTTCTCTTCTTTCTTTGCTCTACTATGGTTAGTCTTCGGTTTCAAAACTTCACTGTATGAGAGTGGTTGTTGTGGTGTGGGTATTGGTTGTACAACCACATTATCCTCCAGCATCCATTCTTCCTCACATGGTTTTAATGAACTCTGGCTAGTGAAATTTCCTATAGTTCTTTGCACTTTGCCTCTAGCTTCTGCTTTATTCTTCTCAATATCGTGGTCCATTGCTTCTAAGTTATTTTGCAAGGTTCTCCTCTCTATCTCTATCTCCCTTGTGCTTCTATTTGTATTAGCTAGGACTGAAGTTTCCACTTTATCGACTGGAGGTCGATTAGGTGGTTGCTTGTCGTCAGTGACAGGCTGATCTTGCATGAAAAACTCAGGGAATCTCTCTCTAACTTTCTCTCTCTATACGTTCTTGGTAAACTTTGCATATTTTAGGTTATATTTTAGGGTTTCTATCCTCAATATAAATAGGGAAAATTACATTCAGATTCTAAGTAATTCAAACGTTCAAATTAATCTCGAGTCCTAAAAGACCGTGGGTGAGAGATTACATTTATATGTTGACCATTTTACCTTAAGCATCCTCCCTTGTCAATTCCAACTCCTTTACTTGTCAATTGTGCCTATAGAAATTATCACTTTTTGCTGCACACTAACTTGTCAATTAGGCCACAATAAGTTGTCATTTGGAGCATAGTGACTTACCAAATGAGCCACAATGAAGTGTCAGTACATGCCCTTTCACTTGACAATCTTACAACATGGAATAACAATCTGTATAGGCACAATTGACAAATAGAGTTGGAATTGACAAAAAAGGGTGTTGAGAGTGCCAATTTATATGTCAATGAGGGCAAGACCGTTGATTCACAATTGCAATATCTCACCCACAGATTCTTAGGAACTTGAGATTAATTTGAATATTTTAAGGGACCTTGCGATAATAAAATCTTTTATTTGGGACTTGAGTGTCATTTTTCCATATAAATATCATGTATTCAATTTCCCATGTCCAAAGGGTTGGACTTCATAACGACTAAGGTTGTTTGGTTACATTTGTTTTTTTTAATGGGAAAAAAGACCTTATTCGTTTTTCTTTTTACTAATTGACTCTTTCTTTATGGCAGCATGGAGTCTATTATTGAGCGCCGCAATCGCCTTACGAGGCCTGATTCAAAAGTCAAGGTATTGCACGTACACTCCAAGTACTATTCTCAAAGTAAATTATAATGTCTCTTCATACAAATTAAACCCAGCTACTAGACATTATTAAAGCATGGTTCCTATATATAAGCCAATATACAATTGTTATCCAAGCAGAATTATAAAACATCGGAGAGACACTATTGACAACCAGAAGATATAGTTGGGCTATTATTCTGGGCTTAAACATGGCCCTTTTAGATTTTTTTTTTTAAAAAAAGCTTTTGCACTACATAAGAAAAACTCAAAAGTCAAATCTATAATCAATAAAAATTGAGTTTAATAGAAGGGCTAATCCCCCACAGTATGGTGAACCAAGGATCAAATTTCCGTTGAGAAAAGTGGCCACATTTAGTACCTATTAAACTACGTACCTGGACTTTCTGAACTCCTGTGAATGGCTCAATTAAATTCTTGTTCAATTTCATCAAGATGGCTTCTAGGACCTCCTTCATGGTATTATTATTCTTTTGAACACTATTTGGACGAAGCGGAATCTAGCACTGCATCAGGGTACTAGATGGCATCCGCTTAAGGTGATTCAGGAAATACAGGGACTTAACAACTTCACTCAAATTGCTTTTCAGTCTCACTCACCTTAGTATCTCAATCAGCAGAGTCTCAGGTTTGCGCCTAAATTAACCTTTCCCCACCCAATGGTTGGTGCATTTTCTTCTTGAAGAAAAGGAAGCTCGGACATCATGGATGCCATACTCTCACGTGCCTAAAATGCATCCCCACGATGTGTCTGATTTGATATAGAAAACACTCGGATCCACATCTCTTCTCATAATTATGCTTGAGTTTCCTCATTCTGAATTCTCTATTTTAGCAACACCATTGAACCGGAACAAGAAACTCTCCAGTTAATTTGTATCAACAAGATGACCATCAATCTTAATGGGAGCAATCTTCGAGCAAGCTTTGCTTGGCAAGACATCTTGCGTTTGCTTTCTTCTTTCTTAAGGGTTTCGGCTAGTATGTAGCTAATATTTCTATTTTCAACTCCTTCATTAGGTCTAACTTAATCTCTAATATTTATTATACGATGCAATAACTTTCTTCTTTAATATCATTTTGCCTTTTTATAAGGACAAAAACCATGAGATGTTTTTTTTTTGGCCAACAAAATGAGATTTACAGCTGCAAGCCTGCAACCTCTTTTTTCGCAATATTTATGCATATTCTTTAAACTCTACACGTCTTTTAAAATTTTCCTTCCATTGTTATTTTTTTATACTTTTATTCCTCATTTTTTACCTAAAAAATGAAGTGCATTTTTATCATTTTATGTTGTGTTTATAATTCGGCGCAACTATTTAAATCAAACTATGAAATGTATAATGTAGCCAATGGTTTTTTCGATAGGCCCCTCAAACTTTATTTTTCATCTTATGATGATGTACAAGTCCTCCTTTAAAATATGAATCAAATTGTGAAATTCACAACTGCTCATCCTATCTGTTTTTTACGGGTCTTTTTTTTTTAAAAAAAAAAAACAATATGGGGATTACCATTTTAAATGGTTAAAACTAAGAATAATGAGTTGTATCGAGTTAAAGTTTAAAATTAAATTTCACTGCCTCAAAAGTATAGTTTTTGAGTTACGCCGTGTACCAAGTTCAGATTAAGATGGGTTACTGGTACACTCAAGCAAAGATTTAGATTAATAATCTAAAGTGGCATACAAAATGCACAGCAAGAGAGGGGCACAATTGTTGGAGGCAACTACTTCTATTTATATAGTTAGGTGGAGGAAAAATATCCCTATCTTAGAAAAATGGTTCACAATATCAGTGAATTAACTGTGATAGATTTATCATAATCTTTCCCAATATCTCAATTAATGAGATAGCATATTATTTATTTATATCCTAATTTATTTATATTACTTTAGTGAAAAGCCTGATTGAATATTCCGCGGTCTTGATCTGAGATATTTAAAGACCAAGTTACAACCGATTTGGAACTAAAAGATAGTTTGTTGTTCAAAAATATTCCTTGGTAGATGTAATGAATAGAGTTATTTCGCAGGAAAACAAAAGACCTGATTCTTGTTCGAGTAAGATGGAGGTTAGAGCTCATGAGCCAATGAATTTAGATGACAGTGACGATGGCTTGTCATATGGCATCATCAAATCACGCCGATCGCCCAGAAAGCCTTCAAATTTCGTGGGAGCGCAGAAGAATCCATTGTTGAGGTTAGACAGAATAAGAGATGTTGTCAGCCTCTGGTTGAGTTATCCTGTTAGAACAGTGCATGATAGCAAACTTAAGACATGGATTCATCAACTTTCGAATGCGCATGGCTCAGTAGCAGAAAAGTACAGTCTGATCCTTGAGGACCCGCTCCATTACTTGGAAGACCTTGTACCAATGGAAATGTTGATGGAGAATGAGACAGAAGCAATTTGTAGTCCCATGGTTGATCAAAATAAGATACCAGATGCTATTCTCAATTTAGCTGCTGATCTTGCTATAAATCAGCTGGTTCAAATCTTACTTTTTGGGGATGGTCATGCGCTCAACATTCGCCGTGTCATGATTCGTACCAGAAATAATGCAGAACGAAGACAAGTTTTTGAAAAACTGAAAGTGGTACTAAAAGATATGGAAGATCTGCCTCGTTTTAATGAAATCTTTCATGGAGTTTTGTGGATTGATGTGTCAATGAGTCAAAGCCAAGTAAACGTAGAGGCTTATGCTAAGCAACAAGTCGATCTGCAGCTTCGCCAGTTGTCAAGGATCGGGAAGAGTGATCACCAAAGCATGATTCGAAAGAAATATTTAGTGGTTGTTTTCGATGGGTATGCTGAGAAAACTATAGATATGAGGAAATTGAATTTGCCTATAGGTGAGGCTGTTATGGTGTTGATTACCACTGAATCTCGAGAGCAAGCAAATGATAAAAGAACAAAAGCGATAGATCTGGCAATCAGTACAAATGATCATTTGTTGCCATGGAGAGTCTTTTGTCAAACCGTAGGCAATGAGCTTGTCTTCTCCTATGGTGCCCTCCAGGAAATTGCAGTACGCATAGTTCAAGAATGTGGTGGCCATCTTTTAGCCATTGTCCTTCTGGCGAAGTCATTGAAGAATGTGAAAGATGTCAAATTCTGGGAACTTGCACTCTACAAATTGTGCTGCCTTAATCCTTCTTATGACATGAATATGTTTCAGGATATAAGCAAAGTTACGGTTACTACATTCATAAACTTTATCTGGAATGATATGGATCAAACGCTGAAGCATTGCCTCATGAGTTGCTTATTCATCCCTGATATCAAAATCGGTAAGTTCTCAACTGAATTGGTGCATCATTGGATTTCTTATCAGTTAACAGATGATCGAGAAGCCATGCATATCTTGACCGAGCTTGTAGAACGCTCTGTCTTGATCAGAGATCAATCAAATGATTTGTATGTCCAGTTGCCCGAGGACACATATGCTATTTTGCATTCATTGAACACCCTAACCCCGTTGTTCATGAAGAAATCTGGATTAGGGTTGACAGAGCCACCTAAGGATGAGGAATGGCATAGTGTTGTGCATATGGAACTTGCAAACAATAAACTTGCTGAGCTGCCTTTGTCTCCAAGCAACCCTGAACTCAAAGTGTTATTGTTGCAGGGAAATGTTGATTTAACAAGAGTGCCAAATACGTTTTTGTTAAATGCCCTTGCTTACGATCCTAGACTTATCTTACACTAGTGTGCGTGAACTACCAGACTCTCTTTTTGAGTTGGAGCAGCTCAGAGAAATGTATTTGAAAGGTTGTGAATGTTTCATGAAATTGTCACCAAAAATTGGAAAATTGAAGAAACTTGAGAAGCTCGATCTTGACGGAACTGAGATCATACATCTGCCAGAAGAGATTCAAGAGTTAACCAAGCTCCAAAGCTTGTTCCTTTGCTTCTGTGAATATCGTGGCAAAAAAGGCAAGCAATATTCGTGCCCAACAATTATTCCATCTGAGGTAATCTCAAAACTCAAGGGGTTAAAACATTTAGGTATTGATGTGAACCCTGATGATGAGCGGTGGTATGAGAATGTACTGGACATTCTTCCAGAAATCTTGGGATTAGAGCATTTGCTGACTCTTAACTTATATATCCCGCATCTGGAACTTTTAAAGTTCATACCAGACCGTATATTATTGCGGGGTGATTTTAGATTTATTGTTGGTAGGCATATGCAAAGGATCATATCAAGTACCCCATCCACATGTGAGGCAAAATTTAAACAAAGTGGCTGTAGCTTGAAGTTTGTAAATGGTGATGATGTCCCTAATGAAATTGAAAGGCTTGTTAGACACAGTAAGGCTTTATTTCTGGAGAGACATAAGACAATCAATAGCCTATCAGGATTTAACGTGATGAATTTAGAGCAGCTGCGCGTATGTATGTTGGCAGAATGCAGAGAAATGCAAACAGTTGTTGATGGAAGAAAAACAATTAGGGGTAATGACATTTTCTCACATTTGCTATACTTGTGCATATCACACATGAAGAGTTTGAGAAGCATATGGGAAGGGCTACTTCCACCTCGCTGCTTTTTTGGTATGCTGAAGTGTTTAGTACTGCAAAATTGCCCGGAGTTAACAACTATCTTTACCTTGGATTTTTTGGGCAATCTTTCACTATTAAAGGAGATTATAGTTAAGGATTGTCCCAAAGTAACCACGTTGATAAGTGATGGATCATTCAAACATAAAGGAGAGGTCTTCCTGCCTAACTTGAGAAGGATATTACTTCTCCATCTTCCTGAGTTGATCACTATTTCCAATGGATGTTACATAGCTCCAAGCTTGAATACTATGGGAATTTATGATTGCCCAAAGCTCCAAAGCCTTTCTAAGTCGGAACTGTCAAGCCAAACTCTGAACATCAAGGGAGAAATCAAATGGTGGGATCAACTGCAATGGAGCAGAGAAGAGTGTGGAATACCGCAACGACCGTCTAAGTTTGATGGCATTTTTTCCTCAATTGATAATCAGGTTGATATAATGACTCAAATGGGAAATGATGGTGATGATATTGATGATAATGCAGGTAATTCTCTATCTATTTTTAATTTAAATTTTCTTAATATGAATGTCATGACCTCTTTTAGCATTTCTATTTCCCTTGATTCCCTTGCTAAATCTACCATGGCAGATATGATGTCGCTACAGACTTTATTTGAGCACCCAGAGCAAAATGCCGAAACATTTAGCAGGTGCATTTGCTTAACTGTGTTTATGTACCTCTATTCAAAAGGTTAGCAAAAATTGTGATGTAATTTTATAACAATAATTCTTGTATGACAGAATCAGTGATGATATTGACGATGATGCAGGTAATCAATTTAAATTTTCTTAATATGAATGTCATGACCTCTTTAAGCATTTCTATTTCCCTTGAGTCCCTTGCTAAATCTACCATAGCAGATATGATGTCGCTACAGACTTTATTTGAGCACCCAGAGCAAGATGCCGAAACATTTAGCAGGTGCATTTGCTTAACTGTATTTATGTACCTCTATTCAAAAGGTTAGCAAAAATTGTGATGCAGTTTTGTAACAATAATTCTTGTATGACAGAATGCGTGATGATATTGACGATGATGCAGGTAATTAATTTAAATTTTCTTAGTATGAATGTCATGACCTCTTTTAGCATTTCTATTTCCCTTGATTCCCTTGCTAAATCTACCATGGCAGATATGATGTCGCTACAGACTTTATTTGAGCACCCAGAGCAAAATGCCGAAACATCTAGCAGGTGCATTTGCTTAACTATATTTATGTACCTCTATTCAGAAGGTTAGCAAAAATTGTGATGTAATTTTATAACAATGATTCTTGTATGACAGAGTGAGTGGTGATATTGACGATGATGCAGGTAATTAATTTAAATTTTCTTAGTATGAATGTCATGACCTCTTTTAGCATTTCTATTTCCCTTGATTCCCTTGCTAAATCTGCCATAGCAGATATGATGTCGCTACAGACTTTATTTGAGCACCCAAAGCAAGATGCCGGAAGATTTAGCAGGTGTATTTGCTTAACTGTGTTTATGTACCTCTATTCAGAAGTTTAGCAAAAATTGTGATGTAATTTTATAACAATGATTCTTGTATGACAGAGTGAGTGGTGATATTGACGATGATGCAGGTAATTAATTTAAATTTTCTTAGTATGAATGTCATGACCTCTTTTAGCATTTCTATTTCCCTTGATTCCCTTGCTAAATCTACCATGGCAGATATGATGTCGCTACAGACTTTATTTGAGCACCCAGAGCAAAATGCCGAAACATCTAGCAGGTGCATTTGCTTAACTGTATTATGTACCTCTATTCAGAAGGTTAGCAAAAATTGTGATGTAATTTTCTAACAATGATTCTTGTATGACAGAGTGAGTGGTGATATGGACGATGATGCAGGTAATTAATTTAAATTTTCTTAATATGAATGTTATGACCTCTTTTAGCATTTCTATTTCCCTTGATTCCCTTGCTAAATCTGCCATAGCAGATATGATGTCGCTACAGACTTTATTTGAGCACCCAAAGCAAGATGCCGGAAGATTTAGCAGGTGTATTTGCTTAACTGTGTTTATGTACCTCTATTCAGAAGTTTAGCAAAAATTGTGATGTAACTTTGTAACAATAATTCTTGTATGACAGAATGACTTTTTCAGTCTCAAGAAAAATACCTGAACCTGAAGATCATACTCCAGATGATGGGTACAGTTGGAGGAAGTATGGCCAGAAAATAGTGGCTGGATCCAAAATTCCAAGGTAGCACCACTGCAATTACCCTAAAAGAAAAGAGAGATGAATTACTTCAATATTTATGCATCATTTGGCTAATACTGTGTGGGGTCATTGCGCAGTTCCTATTACAAATGTACTCATGTAGGTTGCCCAGTTAAAAAGAAATTAACGCGACGATCTGAGGAAGACCTAACAATAGTTGAAATCGTTTACAAGGGAACACATACGCACCCCAGTCGCCAGCGTGACAGATCCCTCCACGAACTAAAGTCCAGTTAAGTCTAACAGTGTTTGATTTTAATTTTATACATTGTTATTGCTACTGTGTGCGCCATAATCTCATTCACTTCCACACCGCTCTGGATGGACAGATGTCTTCGATGATGACTATAGATGGAAGAAATATGGTGAGGAAATCATTAGCGGATCACCCAATCCAAGGTACCCACCAATTTTAGTTCTCCGCGACTACTCAAGTTATTGTGCATCATTTCGCTGATACTAGGTGTTGTGAACGCGCAGAAGTTATTATGGATGTGTTTCCACAGATTGCTCTGCTAAAAAACACGTGCAAGTATCAGATGAAGATCCAACCATGGTCGAAATCACTTCCACTGGAGTTCACACTTGTTCCACCCCATTTTGTGAAGACGCTGCCGTGAACGAACCATGTGACTCAGTACTGACTCAGACTTGACAGGAGTTGATCAGATTATGCCGACATCCTCCAAAGGATTTATTTGAAAATTGTTACGTCCCGTCTTGTTTTAAACTCCCGTTAGATATGACTTGTTATGATATGTGCTGCTACTTAGTTTACTGTACGTCAGAATTTATTTCAATAAGAAAATGGATTCAGAGACAATAAAAAAATCCATTCAATATATATTTTTGCTGTTGGTAAAGTTTCAATGTCGCGTTTCTTCCTCATCATATGTATTTGTATGTGTAGGGAATGAATTCAGCAAACAGTAAGGCGCATATTATCCACAAAACGGAGCTTTGGGTCGCCCCTTAAGCTGGCCTTTTACTAATGGAAGTTCTCAGTCTAGCTAGCAGCGAATCTTGATGTTCCTCAACTGGTTTGAAAGAATCTAGTCAGAGGATGATAATTGGATAGGTTAGGAAGTTAAGAAATTGGGTTGATAAATCAATGTAATTATAAGGATGAACGAATTTTTTTTTTTTAATCTAAAATGTTTCCTAAACGGGAAAAGAGAACAAAAAAAATGCCAGTCATTTTTATTTTGGGAAAAAAAATTAAGAATAATTTTAAAAATCAGGTAAATGCAAAATATTTACTCAAATAAATTTTTTTTTCAAAAAACAAAATACTGTTTAAATATGAAAAGATGAAATCCAGCGGTTTGAGACGGAAGAGTGCCGCTGAGTGATCACAATTCACAAGCTCGAGTAGATCATCTAAAGGAACAAGCATCAATGTTGGGTCGACCCCTGAAACAAGGAAGTCCGCCTTCAAAAAGGGGACCCGCAACGAAGACACCAATCAATTACAGATGGGTTTCGACATGGGACCACGTCAGGAGCCCATTGGTAAACAATACTCCATCCCTCTCCTTAGCGTAGGAGTTAAGTTAGTATTTATAAAAAAATGTGTTAATTTTTTAAAATACTCTGTCTAATTATTAGGTGGAGTTTGCCAACTCTACACATTATGTAAATCAAAACAAAACTCTTCTCATATATTTACTTTAAACTGCATAAAATCATTTCCAAAAAAAAAATAATGCAAATATTTGCATTGGAGCTACTGTTAATGAAACCCGTACCATGTGCATTCAACAAGAATAGTTTGAAAAAAAAAATTAGAAATTTAAGAAATATAAAGTGAGATGCAGTCTTATGTGTTTGAGTAAAAACAAAATTATAGTCTTAAAAATACTTTTACAATATACGAAGTAAATATGTATAAGAATTTATTGCAATTTGTAAAAAAGTACTTTCCAAGTTAGGTAAATACCGCTTTAGAAGTAAATAAACCTCTTATTTAACTCCTATATTTCCAATATAATGACGCTTCTCTGACAGACTGTCGGCACTGGATTATATATCACGGAAAAATGCTTTGGTGAAAAAGGTTTTGCTAAATACTGACGGCTTGAGAGGTTCGTTATTGTTTTATGATAACGGGGGGTCAATGAATAAGACAATGGAAGGTGCGTGGAAATTTCCAATTATTGACCCAAAAAAATACCATTTTATTTATTTATGAGGAGGTCTTTGCTTGGGCTGAGAGAAGGCTTCATTAGATCACTTCTTGGTATGTGCCACTATTATCCCATCCTCATCCTTATTGTTTTATTTTTATTTTTATTTACGATCTTCAATTTCAAATTCTTCTTCCTTGGGGCCAAAAGAAGAAATATTAAATACTCATGAATCTGGATTTCCATTAACAAAAAAACCGTCAAAGGGTCTGGAATTGACATTTGCTTTGTTTTAATTTTGAATTTTTATTCTGCCTTTGAGTTCTTTTAAGAGAATTGAGAAGTGGAGAAAGAAGTAAACACGGAAAGATTTTCGCAATAAATGGGGCTTAGAGGGGCTTATCAGGTTGTGGAATTAATAAATGGGTTTTTTAATTGAAATTTTATTACTGAAAATGACCTAAATCATAGTATCTACCTATGTGTATAAAATTTGCAGAGACTGGCACTTCTTACGTATAAAAAATATGTCGGGTCCTTCTTGGCAATAAAATTTTCGATGCATGAGACCATTTTTTCTTTTTAAAACTATGATTAACTTTGATTCATACAAATCCCAAGATTAAGGGGTGTTCAAATGAACTTTTTGAAAGTAATTTTATGGGTTCAAAATAAGCACGTGCAAAGAATTTTGTTTCAACTTTCGTAAAATCATTTTTTTAATTAAAAAAAAAGGAGGTTGCCAAACTCTTCCTAACTCAAATCTTGCACTTCACACACTTCCATTTTGCCATACCTGCCATCTCTTCTAAGGGCACGCCGTCTTATAAGAAACTCTCAGGGACATAAGAGACTAAACAATACTTGCACAAAGAGCAAGATACATTGAAGCTCTTCTCAAATGAATAAGATAATGACATTAGATGGCAGAAATCATTATATGATAAAAGATGTATGAAATCACGAATATAACCATCTTTTATTTTTCTTATAGTTCCTCTCTAATAAAATGCATCTGGAGCGATATATATTTAAAGACCAATATGAGAAATAACCATTGGAGTAAGAACAAAAGAAAAGCCGTTTATAACCGTTGGGAACTTCTTCTTACTAGTTAACGTACTAAGCACACCAACAACTATATTTTGTACTCATCCAGTCCTAAATATAAAACCTATTTTGTAGTGCAAATTACAGTACAAAAAGGGTCTTATACTTAAGACCAGAGGAGTATTATTTAATGCCTTAGGCAAATGTTTAAAGGTGAAGGTTAGTGCGTTAAACAGAAACCCATAAAATATGATCATTATGAAGTCCAAGGTTTCCTTGATGCGTTCAAGTTAGTAGATTCTTCATCGTCATAAGCTCTTCTTGAACTATCTTATCTTTATTTTTATGTTCTTCATCTTGAGTGTAGCAATATGCATGATGATGGATACAGTACAATGCAGAGCCATGCATATAAGATAAGCTTCAATGTATATTCAATTCATATGAAAATAACATTTCTAAAAACATAAATTGGATATCAAAAACATTTTAAGACTAAAACTTTAATTTTCGATCATTTGTTATCATAAAAACTTGTATTAAACATGATGGCCAAAAAAAAAAACTTACAATGTTATGAATCACTATGTCGAACAAACTGATTTCTTATTTGGTTAAAAAACCGATCTTTTTAGAGTTTTAGATGAAGACAAATAAGGAGGCTGTCCAATGAATTGATAGATTATGTTCAAATTACTTTTTTGGGGATGACATATTTTCCCGTCATCCTCTTATTCATTATGCAAGAAATATTTTCTCTCTGGAGTTTCCATGGAGGGAAGTGATGAACAAATGGTTTCTGATGATATCAAAATACATGCAGTCACCAAAATGGAGCCATCTACAAAACAAGCTTTGGATCCATTTACTAAACTGGAGGAAATAGAAACAGCGAAAAGATTTGATTTTACCAAAGGAGAAAAAGTGGTGCCATTTCTGAAAGCGGAGCCATTTAGTCTTCCCAAACTAAAGCTGCCAAATCCTCTCAGGATAGAAACAAATGCACATTAATCTTCCAAAGCCAAAACCCTTAAGCAGTTTGGTATGCCACTGAGTAGATCGACGTCTAGATTGCCGCTAAAAGTGAGCCGGATAAGAGATTTTATCATGCTACTGTTGAATTATCCCATGAGAATAGCGCACGATAGCAAACTCAAGGCTTGGGTTCCAGAAGTTTCAAGTAGGAGACATTCTCTGGATGATTTGAATCGCCTTCTCAATCAGAAGCCTCTTGAATGCTTCCAAGTCCTTTTACCAATATACATATTGAAGAGCGTGGAAAGTGGTTGGAGTCCCAACTATGCTTATTCCAACGAAACACCAGAAGACATTCTCAATTTATCGGCGAATCTTGCTGTGGATCAATTGGTTCAAACTTTATTGTCAAAGGATGATCATGTACGAAACATTCACCATGTCTTGTTTTCTGCGAGAGATGCAGCTAAAAAAAGACTAGTTAAGGAAAAAATAGAATCAGTCTTGAAAGATAAGGAAATTATGCTTCGCCTTCATGAAACATTCTCCGAAATCTTACTCATCGACGCCTCAGATTACCAAGGTCCAGCTGCGGAGATCCATGTTCAACAGCAGATAGCTCAACAATTTCATCTTCCACTGATAGAAGGCAATGACGATTTGCTTAAAACAAGCATTGAGAAAGAGATGTCAAGAAAAAAATACTTGGTGCTTTTGGTTGAAGGAGAAGCCCAAAAGCCTCTTGATCCTAGGAAAGTGGGTTTTCCTAAAGAACTTGCAGGAGTTGTGGTGTGCATTACCACTAAATCTGCAAAGCAGGCTAATAGTGAATTAACAGTGGCAATGGATCTGAATATGAACACAACGGATCACTTATTGCCATGGGAAGTTTTCTGTGCAAACGTCAGAATTCTGATTTTACCATCATCTAATACTGAGAGAATGGCCATGCGCGGTGCTCATCTTCTTGCCGGTGTCATTGTGGCAAGATCATTAAGAAATGCAAAATATTTTTCACAATGGGAATATGCTCTGGTCAAATTGAGTTTGCTTCATTCTTCCTATGACATTGATATGTTTCGAGGCCAGAGCAGCGTCTTACATAAAGCATTCATAAACTTCATCTGGCATGATTTAAGTAAGACACAGAAATATTGTCTTACATCATGTTTATTCGTTTCTAAATTTGGGAAGCCAGAAAATGAGTTAATAAATTATTGGATTTCTTCTCAGATTAGTGGGTGCTGGAGAAGCAAAGCATAATCTAATAGAGCTTGTGGAGCGTTTTGCCTTATTGCAATTAGAGGACACGAAGCCAAGGCACATTCAAATTCCGCAAGACATATATGATATCTTGCAATTATTAAACACTCAGAATCCTTTGTTGATGAAAAAATCTGAGTTAGGGTTGGTTGAACCACCAAAGAGCGAGCTATGGCATAGTGCCATATATATTGACTTGGCATGCAGACAATAAGCTGTCTGAGCTACCTTTTTCCCCAAATTGTCATGAACTCAAAGTGTTAAAGTTGCACAACAATGCTGATTTGACAAAAATTCCCCCTCATTTCTTCTTTAAAATGCCTTTGCTTTGCGTCTTGGATTTGTCCTACACTAGCATTAAAAAATTACCAAACTCCTTTTTGAGTTGGAGCAACTTAGGGAACTCCATATGAAATCTTGTGAATGCTTCATGAAACTATCCTCAGAGGTTGGGAAATTGAAGAATCTAGAGAAGATTGATCTTGACAAGACTCAGATTACACATTTGCCAAAAGAGATCTAGGAACTGACCAATCTCCAAAGTTTGACTCTTTCTTTGTATGAGTATCGTGGCAAGAAAAGTAAAGAATATACAAGCTCAGCAATTATTCCTTCTGGGATGATTTCAAAGCTTAGAGGCCTAAAACATTTAAGCATTGATGTAAACCCCGATGATGAGAGATGGGAAGAGAATTTACAAGTCATTCTACTAGAACTCTTGGTATTAGGATGCTTGGAAATTATTAGTTTGTACATTCCAGCACCAAAACTTTTAAATCTCATACCTGCTCGCTTTTTTGAGGCTTGATTTTAGATTTTGTTGGGAGACATATGTCACGGATTAATTCAGGCACACTACCCACAGCTGAAGAAAAATTTAAACAAAGTGAGTGCAGCATAAAGTTTGTGAAAGGTGTTGATGTTCCTTATGAAATAACAAGTGCTGTTAGACATAGCAAAGCTTTGTTTTTAGATTGACACATGACCGTCAAGAATCTCTCAAAATTTGGCATGATGAGTATAGAGAAATTACAAGTGTGTATATTGGCTGAATGTAAGGAGATGCAAACAATTGTTGATGGAAGATGCTCGAGCAGTAAGGATATATTTCCCTGCTTGCTGGTGTTGAGTGTATCATACATGAAGAATCTAAGAAGCATTTGTGAAGGAGAAGTTCATTCCAGTCACAGCTTTGGTATGTTGAAGACCTTAGCATTGCATAATTGTCCCAAGTTAACAACTACTTTCATCTTGGATTTTCTGGGCAACCTTTCACTCTTGAAGGTGCTTGTAGTTAGAGATTGTCCAAAAATAAGTGCTTTAATATCTTGTGGACCCTCCAACTCAGATCAGGTACTTTCCTCCCAAAATTATTAACAATGACACTTCCCCATCTTCCTGAATTGATCAACATTTCCAATGGATTGCACATGGGCCCAAACTTAGGATTCCCCAAAACTTCAACAGCTTTCAAAAATGGAACTGTCAAGTAAAAATTTGAAAGTCATCAAAGGAGAAACCAAGTGGTGGGAGGCATTGACATGGAGTGAAGCAGAATGGGGAATAGTTGGCTGGCCATTTGTTTTTGATTACATATTTTCTCCAATTGATAAACAGGCTGACATTATGGGTCAATTGGAGTTCGACAATGATATTGATGACATTGCAGGTAAATCTATCTGATATTGGATTTTAATTTTATTTTTTGTTTATTGCTACTATGTTGTCATAGCCTTATTTACTTCCTTAAATTTTGGCCCCAAAAAAAAAAATACTTCCTTAAATATGGTGAATTATCAATGACCCACATGACATTTACTTTACTCACTTTGTAAATTGCTATTGAAATAGGGGGGATAGTGGGCAAGCCACTGCATCCTTCTAGTGGCAAGGTCTTTGAGGATATGGTGAATTATCAATGATCCACATGACAAGTATTTACTCACTTTGTGAATTGCTATTGAAATAGGGGGGATAGGGGGCAAGCCACTGCATCCTTCTAGTGGCAAGGTCTCCGAGGATATGGGGTCTATCACATCAGGTGAGATAGTGGGTTAACTGCTACAGTCTTCCAGCAGCGAGGCCTCCAAGTATAGAAGGTATATCCATGCATAATTATATACTACTACCTCCGGTCCTTATTATAAGACCCTGTTTGACTTTTATTTTGGTCCCAAATATAAGACCCCAATCTACTTTGTCTCTCATATTTATCCACTTTTTTCCATGATAATCCTTCTAATAATAGTAGTTATAGATAACAAACTTGACTAGCAAGGATATTTTAGAAAAAACAACACCTATTCATTACAAATAACTAACTTAACTAAGTTTCTTAATCTCCCCAAATTAGTCAACTGGGTCTTATAATTAGGACCGGAGGTAGTATCATTTACGTTAGCTCATAGGCTTATAACAAAGTAGTTTTATTTTCTAAAACTATTCTTAAATTACAGAGTCAAGTCAGTTATCTCAACATGGACGAAGCAATCTGAATCTTTTGAAGATGGATATAGCTGGAGGAAATATGGCCAGAAAATGATTCTTGGAGCCAAATTTCCAAGGTACCACCACTTCTTTTAATTCTCCAAGAATCGCAATGTCCGTACCAATTATATATGCCTCTTTTGACTTGCGCTCCTTGTGATCTATGAGCAGAGATTATTTCAGATACGATCACAGAAATTATCGTCATTGCCAAGCTAAAAAACATGTGCAGAGAGATAATGAGGAGCCTTTCCTCTACCATATCACATATCGTGGTCATCACACTTGCACACAGACCTCCATTGTAACAAATTCCCCTTTGAACAATCAGGTCCACTTAGGGGCTCAATCCGAGGTAGACGATGATGATGATGGTATTTACTATCATTCGGGTAATTCTATGTCTATTTATAATTTTAATATATGTCGATATTTCAGCGTGAGACTATTTTAAAATCAAGCACAAGCGGCGTGGATAAGAGCGGAAATAGGGGTAGGCCCTTCCATAGCATCCAGTAACCATACATGAAGGGGGAATTGGACAGACTTAGCATTTCATAACCTCTTTTTCTTCCTTTAATAAGTGGAATTTATATCTATAGCATATCGGTTACCCTTAATTCCTTGGCCCCGTTAAAATCTCAAGCTTCCTAGCCTTCTAGTTTGAGGATGCTTGTGGATCGAAAGCAAATTGCAAACAGAAGCAGCAAGTATATATGCATGACTATATTCCACGTATCTCTTTTTATTTACAAGGCTATACAAAAAATTGTGTATTTATAAGGTTAACTGTATTTCAACTATCTTTAAAATCACTTACAGGGGAAGCGACACTAGCACACAAGCCTCTTGTTCGCCAAAGTCTGTTGTAATTTACAGTATAAATTGGAGAGGCAAGTCGGCATCCAATTCAGATCTGGAGTCATTTTTTACTATGGAACATTGTATTAAACCTTCAGCAAATGAAACATATGACAACGGTGCAGACGCAACTTGAACTGGCTTTTTCTAGTCATCCAGGAATTTACAGTTCCACATCTGACCAATTCGACGACTCTCTTCTTGAGCAGATTGTTTTGCCATGCACTAAGGATTTGTTTGAAGTGATACACCCACATCATCTTCTATGTATTTTTAAATTAGGTCACACTTGTTATATATGATACTTGTTTGAAAAATCAACATTTTGTAAACGTTGCAAAATTGTTTGGCTACTCTCTTGGATGATCTCTCCTTTTGTACGTTTTCAATGAAAGCTGGATGTGGATTGAGCATCATATGAGCATGAAAATCTGTTCATTCCCCCATTCACTGAAATGGCAACACGAAGGAGCACAGATTTGCCAAATGCTCATGGAAGAAGGAAAATGCGAGAAATTTGCAAGGGGTAAGAGAAGTCTCTGTACCATTCACAGCAGCTTGATGCAAGACTGTTAACAACTATATATTGCTAGGAGTCAGTGTTGAGTCCCATTACTATGATTCCATGTTAAAAAAGTACTCAAAAAAAATATATTAAATAGTAAGAGAATAATCTCTACTGAGTTCATTTGTTTAAATGGCCCATAAGTACGTTGAACCCAGAATGTTAAAATGTAGAAAGAACCATTACATTGTAGTCATAATATAAAAGTTCAAAATTGGAGAAGACGGTCCATGACTGGAGCCCATTTAATACATCCATCCGCGTCTCCCGTCCCCAGGGCCGGAATCCACG